GGTAAAGGATTCAGGCTAGAGCGAGGGAGCCTCCCCCAACCCCACCAAGGGTCAATTCAGTGGCCAATTCCGGATGACAGATGTGACCACATGATGTGGACTACATTTCCCAGGATGCCTTAACTACACTTACCATGAGGGGACAGCTCACTTAAAGGGGACAGCTCCCAATTCCTAACTAACTATCCCAAATCCCATTCACTCTAAAGTGTCTGGACAGCACAGGGGGGGGGGTGGGCCTGGCTCCCCCCCCCTGTGGGCCCCAGCAATGGCCTGGGGGTTCGAGTCCCATGCAGCCCCCTCTGCCTTTGCAGGAATGGGAGGGGGAGGCCCTCTGGGCATCGGGGAGCGCGGGGGGGGGGAGAATATGTGGCTGCAGCCTTCGCAGGATGATGGGCTGCTGTCCTCCTCTTGCAGGTTGACGGACGCGCTGGGCCCGGCCTTTGGGCTGATCTCCCGGGAGGCCCAGTCCAAGATCAGCATCATGCAGTGGCACCAGCAGGGACCCCAGGGACCCCACTACCACACCGTGCAATCCATGGTGGACTTCGAGCTGGCCTCGGGCTTGGTGGGCTTCCGGTCCTTGCCGGCCCGCCTGCCTCCCTCGGGCTGCCGGACGCTGCTGCGCCTCCACCGCACCCTGAAGTGGCTGGAGCTTTTTCTGCGGAGGCTGGGCGCCAGCCGGGAAGACGAGAGCCCCTCCCGGATGTGTGCGGAGGCCTACCGGCTGGCCCTGGCCCCCTACCACAGCTGGTGGGTGCGGCAGGGGGCTGCCCTGGCCTTCCTGGCTCTGCCCTCCCGCCGGGAGCTGTACCACACCATCCTGCGGGCGGAGCAGCTGGCGGCCGGGGCCCTCGTCCTGACCACGGTGGAGAGCCTGGGACGGGTGTACAACGTCACCCAGGAGGTCTACTCCGCCCATGGGATGCTGGACCTGCCCTAAGGATGTCCAGCCGGGGGGCTTCGGGCCGGTCACTTGAAGGACATCCGTACAGCAAGCGGCGCCGCATCGCGCCTCCTGCCCCCCAAGGGCGGGTTACAGCGCCCCCTCTGGGCTGGGTTGCACCTGGACAGCGCCTGCCCCTCTACCCCCTGGGCCAAAGCAGGATGCAGGGGTTGGGCTCCCTGTGCAGGGAGGCGGGCAGTGCCCTCCGACCCAGAGCGAGCCCTCCTCGTCTGGTTGCTGGGTTCTTGCAATGGGTACTTCCAATGGGCCCCCTTCGATGCCGGCCTAGAGGGATGGGGCGGGTGGTTGGGGTTCCATGCCATATTCAGGCTTCGGCTGGGTGGCGGGGAGGGGAGATCAGTCCCCGGCAAGACTTTGCCGCAATCGGAGGTCGAGAGAGCTGACTTCCACCAGCTAAAATGGGGGTGGGGTGTGTATGTGTGTGTGTCAGACTTGATTTCATTGAGAAATGGTGTAGGGGGGGTTGGACTCGATGACCTGTAAGGTCCCTTCCAACTTGGATTATCTGTTACCTGTTACCTGTATCTGAAGGC